TAGGCCATCACAACCCTCGAAAGGTTGATAGGCCTTCACAACCCTCGAAAGGTTGATAGGCCTTCACAACCCTCCAGAGGTTGATAGGCCTTCACAACCCTCTAGAGGTTGATAGGCCTTCACAACCCTCTAGAGGTTGATAGGCCTTCACAACCCTCCTGAGGTTGATTGGCCTTCACAACCCTACAGAGGTTGATAGGCCTTCACAACCCTCTAGAGGTTGATAGGCCTTCACAACCCTCCAGAGGTTGATAGGCCTTCACAACCCTACATAGGTTGATAGGCCTTCACAACCCTCTAGAGGTTGATAGGCCTTCACAACCCTCCTGAGGTTGATTGGCCTTCACAACCCTCCAGAGGTTGATAGGCCTTCACAACCCTACAGAGGTTGATAGGCCTTCACAACCCTCGAAAGGTTGATAGGCCTTCACAATCCTCCAGAGGTTGATAGGCCATCACAACCCTCGAAAGGTTGATAGGCCTTCACAACCCTCGAAAGGTTGATAGGCCTTCACAACCCTCCAGAGGTTGATAGGCCTTCACAACCCTCTAGAGGTTGATAGGCCTTCACAACCCTCTAGAGGTTGATAGGCCTTCACAACCCTCCTGAGGTTGATTGGCCTTCACAACCCTCCAGAGGTTGATAGGCCTTCACAACCCTACAGAGGTTGATAGGCCTTCACAACCCTCCAGAGGTTGATAGGCCTTCACAACCCTACAGAGGTTGATAGGCCTTCACAACCCTCCAGAGGTTGATAGGCCTTCACAACCCTACAGAGGTTGATAGGCCTTCACAACCCTCCAGAGGTTGAGAAGCACTATAAGGCCTAACGCCAATCCATACCATTCAAAAGCTCATCTATGCTTTCTCTTCGTGTACTTAAGGTCGGTTGTTGCATAGCACCTGCCCTCTGAGGCTCTCTCAGTCCTCCTGTTACTCTATGAGTCTCCATTTATCCATCTTTGTTTTGTTCTCCTTTCGCTTTGGTGTTACTTTTCTTGTACGTAGAGATCAGCAGTTTAGAGGTCAATAGACATGTAATAGAAGCAAAACTATTACTCAGATCTATCGCTCATCAGTCCGGGGAAGCGTCTGTAGTGATAAGTATTTAATATCGCTAAAGCACTGGATTTTTTACGTTCTGATTGATAGCTTATAATCATGATGCCTCAAGTGTGAGGACAGGATGCCCCTCCGTAAAAAATACAACTGTTTTGCTTAACTGGAAACGTCAAAAATTGCAGCAGTTTTGCCTAACAGTTCGAACTGAAGGTATCCCATCTGACTTATCGAGACCGATGCATATAAAACGTCAATATTACGATGCTTTAGTTTGAACTATTACGTCGTGTTTTTAACGGATTTTGTAACGGATTTAACGGATTTTTTTTAACGGATAATGGATTCAGTTTTGACCCCCATCATTGACCTCTGACCTGCGGCAGTGATGCCCTGAGGGTGCCTGGAGGGCCCGGGTGCCTGCTAGCAGGGCCTCCAGGGCGTAACTATTCCCTGACTCCACACATTGTAATGCAAACTAAATTACCTATATATTACTGGGGCGACAGCTGAGGGGGGGGGGACGCCTTCTCCCTCCCTGTCTCCCCCTCACCTACCTCCCTCCTTCCCTCCCTGCCTCCCTCCTTCACAGTCTCCCTCTCTTGCCTCACTCTCCCTCCCTATCCATCCCCCTCCCCTGACACTCTATCCCTCCACTCTCGGTAACTCTTGTCTTGTGAGTGACTCTAGTGGAGTCTTGGAGCCTCTGCAGTATTTGTTGGTCTTGGGCAGTTATGGTGGACCTTTTTTGGGTGAGTCTAGAGGCTTTTTTCAATGACTGGCCTTTTTTTCTTAATTGAGACTGAGGACCTTTTTAATGTTTAGGTCATCTTCGAGAGGCTGGTACCTTCTGTGATGTATGTGAAAACTTGTTATGGTCTTTTTATTTTAATATATCTGGGGACTTTGTGATGTGTTTTTGAACTTTGTAATGTATTTGGGATTTGTTAATGTACTTTGGGAATCTGTGATGAACTTGGGGGACTTTGTGATGGGGGATTATGGGGAGTTTATGTCGAGTGTTTAAATTTTGGCGAATAGTTATATATTAGCGAGTAGTTACATTGTGATGAGGGTTTAAGTTTTTTGTGGGTGGTTAAAATCTTGACAAATTTATAATTTTAGCGAGTGGTTAAATTCTAGTGAGTTATAATATGGGATAATGGGGAGTAAACGATTGTTCTAGTGTGTGCCAGTGTGCGTGTGTGTGTGTGTGTGTGTGTGTGTGTGTGTGTGTGTGTGTGTGTGTGTGTGTGTGTGTGTGTGTGTGTGTTTTTGATTTGGGTGGTTGTTCGTTCCTGTGTTCGGCTCAGGAGACGAAACAGCTGATTGGCACTTAGGTCGTTTAGAATTACTTGTAACTTATAAAGCAATTGGTGTGTGGGGAAGAACTATACTGATGTGGGCAGACGGGTCTCTAACTGTCTGAGTGCATTGTTATCTGAGTGGCTATCCGAGTGTCTGTCTATCTGAGTGCCTGTCCAACAGAGTGCCAGTGTGTCTGAGTGCCTGGCCTATCTGAATGCACCGCCAAGAGGAGTTCCAGTGCATCCAAGGACCACTGGAATACCTTATCAATAATGACGACGCGATCACTCTATTTAATGATGAATGAGTCATATGGGAACCTCAGGGAAGACTCACGTTGTATTACTGAGTGTGACGTCACCTTAACACACTCAGCTGTCTATATCTATCTATCTATCTATCTATCTATCTATCTATCTATATATATATATATATATATATATATATATATATATATATATATATATATATATATATAATATATATATATATATATATATATATATATATATTATATATATATATATATATATAATATATATATATATATATATATATATATATATATATATATATATATATATATAATATATATATATATGGGCTGGTGTTTAACCCTCTGGTGCTGTCTAGCGGACATACCCAGCTGACATATATCTGCCTTTGATGTAAAGTTACAGGACGGGATGGTTGGCTGTGTTTGGTTATACGGTGGATGGTTGGCTGTGTTTGGCAATACGGCGGGATGGTTGGCTGTGTTTGGTTATACGGCGGGATGGTTGGCTGTGTTTGGTTATACGGTGGATGGTTGGCTGTGTTTGGTTATACGGCGGGATGGTTGGCTGTGTTTGGTTATACGGTGGATGGTTGGCTGTGTTTGGTTATACGGCGGGATGGTTGGCTGTGTTTGGTTATACGGTGGATGGTTGGCTGTGTTTGGTTATACGGTGGATGGTTGGCTGTGTTTGGCAATACGGCGGGATGGTTGGCTGTGTTTGGTTATACAGGACGGGATGGTTGGCTGTGTTTGGTTATATAGTGGGATGGTTGGCTGTGTTTGGTTATACGGTGGATGGTTGGCTGTGTTTGGTTATACGGTGGATGGTTGGCTGTGTTTGGTTATACAGGACGGGATGGTTGGCTGTGTTTGGTTATATAGTGGGATGGTTGGCTGTGTTTGGTTATACGGTGGATGGTTGGCTGTGTTTGGCTATACGGTGGATGGTTGGCTGTGTTTGGTTATACGGTGGATGGTTGGCTGTGTTTGGTTATACGGTGGATGGTTGGCTGTGTTTGGTTATACGGTGGATGGTTGGCTGTGTTTGGTTATACGGTGGATGGTTGGCTGTGTTTGGTTATACGGTGGATGGTTGGCTGTGTTTGGCTATACGGTGGATGGTTGGCTGTGTTTGGCTATACGGTGGGATGGTTGGCTGTGTTTGGTTATATAGTGGGATGGTTGGCTGTGTTTGGCTATACAGTGGATGGTTGGCTGTGTTTGGTTATACGACGGGATGGTTGGCTGTGTTTGGTTATACGGTGGATGGTTGGCTGTGTTTGGTTATACGGTGGATGGTTGGCTGTGTTTGGCAATACGGCGGGATGGTTGGCTGTGTTTGGTTATACAGGACGGGATGGTTGGCTGTGTTTGGTTATACAGGACGGGATGGTTGGCTGTGTTTGGTTATACAGGACGGGATGGTTGGCTGTGTTTGGTTATACAGGACGGGATGGTTGGCTGTGTTTGGTTATACAGGACGGGATGGTTGGCTGTGTTTGGTTATACAGGACGTGATGGTTGGCTGTGTTTGGTGCGCAAGGAACTCTTCCTGTGACTGACAGCCAACAGCAGCCTGTGGCTTGTGCAATGAAATTCTGAGCATCTTGGGGGGGGGGGAGGGGAGGGCCAGTGAGAGCCGCGCGAGGGACTCTCTGTCCCCCCCCCCCCCCCCCCCCCCTGGCACACTTCAAGTGCCAGGGAACGAGCCTACGTAGTGCCAGCCAGTGTTCGTTACCTGCTGGGGGAGGCCGCAATTAATTTAGACAAATGTATATGTTGGAGAGTGTTTAGTAGTGTGCTGGAGCAGTGAGTGCGTTGGGTAGTGATTGTGTTTGGGGGTTATAGAGTGTATGTTTGCGTTAGAGTGTGTTGGGGTTGAGTGCGTTGTGGATTAGTAGTGCGTATATACGCCGTGTGTAAGGGGTTAGGGGAGTGTGTTTAGGCATGTACTTGAGTGGGGAAGGTACTATTTCTTGAATAGGGAACAAGACGTCTTGCGAGCAATTTAGTCTGGGTTCGAACCCTGTTCAGGAAGGTTCACTCTGGCACTAATCCAGTAATGTTTACTGGAACACAAGTAATGAGTCTGGTTCAGTGGAATACAATGAAACAGTCAAAGGTTTAGTGGAACACAATGAAACAGTCAAAGATTCAGTGGAACACAATGAAACAGTCAAAAGGTTCAGTTGAACACAATGAAACACAAAGATTCAGTGGAACACAATGAAATAGTCAAAAGGTTCAGTTGAACACAATGAAACAGTCAAAGGTTTAGTGGAACACAATGAAACAGTCAAAAGGTTCAGTTGAACACAATGAAACACAAAGATTCAGTGGAACACAATGAAACAGTCAAAAGGTTCAGTTGAACACAATGAAACAGTCAAAGGTTTAGTGGAACACAATGAAACAGTCAAAGATTCAGTGGAACACAATGAAACAGTCAAAGATTCAGTGGAACACAATGAAACAGTCAAAGAGTTCAGTGGAACACAATGAAACAGTCAAAGAGTTCAGTGGAACACAATGAAACAGTCAAAAGGTTCAGTGGAACACAATGAAACAGTCAAAAGGTTCAGTGGAACACAATGAAATAGTCAAAAGGTTCAGTGGAACACAATGAAACCGTTAAAGATTCAGTGGAACACAATGAAACAGTCAAAAGGTTCAGTGGAACACAATGAAACAGTCAAAAGGTTCAGTGGAACACAATGAAATAGTCAAAAGGTTCAGTGGAACACAATGAAACCGTTAAAGATTCAGTGGAACACAATGAAACAGTCAAAAGGTTCAGTGGAACACAATGAAACAGTCAAAAGGTTCAGTGGAACACAATGAAATAGTCAAAAGGTTCAGTGGAACACAATGAAACCGTTAAAGATTCAGTGGAACACAATGAAACAGTCAAAGATTCAGTGGAACACAATGAAACAGTCAAAGGTTCAGTGGAACACAAGTCAAGAATCAAAGGTTCAGTGGAACACAATGAAACAGTCAAAGGTTCAGTGGAACACAAGTAAAGAATCAAAGGTTCAGTGGAACACAATGAAACAGTCAAAAGGTTCAGTTGAACACAGTGATAACACTAAACTATTACTTCACGTGCTCGCCCCAAAAATGATTCATGGAAAGAGGGAATTTATCCAGTGTAATATTTTTGTGTAAACAATGTATTTTGTATTCAAGAAAGTTTATAATCAACGAATTATGATGATCAAAGATGCAAAGAAAAGTTGAAAAAAGCCGTAAGATCAGCAACAGGAGCAACAACAATAGCCACAGCCACAGCCACAGCCACAGCAACAACCACAACAACAACCACAGCAACAACCACAACAACCACAGCACCAACAACAACAACAGCCACCCCCCCCCCCCCCCCCCCCCCAACCACCACCTCAACATCCCAGCTCCCCCATCTAAACCCTTTTAACATAAAATCTAAGCATTTCCGAGATATTCAAATCGAATAGACCCCCGAAAGATGTGATCTCGTCGGCTTTAAGTGGGCGTTAGCAGCCTATCAAACAGTTGAGCATCGCCGCTTACAGAACCAAAATACGAAGAGGGTGAACTTGAGATGCAAATGGCGCCCATTCTGATTCAATTTTTTATCCTCTCTTCCCTATTTTTTAATTTAGCGGATTTGTAATAGGCTCGTAGAGGGAGGAGAGAGGGAGAGAGAGAGCGAACCAGTAGCTTGAGTTAGGTGGTGATGTTGGTGTGTGTGGAGAGAGGGAGAGAGAGAGAGAACCAGTAGCTTGAGTTAGGTGGTGATGTTGGTGTGTGTGGAGAGAGGGAGAGAGAGAGAGAGGACCAGTAGCTTGAGTTAGGTGGTGATGTTGGTGTGTGTGTGTGTGTGTGTGGATCGGGATTTGACATTCCGTAAAGAATGCGACTGTTTGGACTTATATTTTTACGGTGGTTTTATTGTTAGTAATGCGTTGCATTTTTTTGACGGATCGGTCGATTGCGAAATGTAATGTGACGTATTGGACGGGTCGGGGAAGACAGGGGCTGGTGACTTTGAGTTGTGAGGTGCCCTCACGCCTTCCCCCTGTCCCCACCATCTCCGTATCTTCTGTCTGTCCGTCTTCCCGTCTGGCCACACACGTCTCTGTCTGTCTATTTGTATTCCCGTCTACCCACACACGTCTCTGTCTGTCTATCCGTCCTCCCGTCTCCCCCACACACGTCTCTCTGTCTATCCGTCCTCCCGTCTCCCCCACACACGTCTCTCTGTCTATCCGCCCTCCCGTCTCCCCCACACACGTCTCTGTCTGTCTATCCGTCCTCCCGTCTCCCCACACACGTCTCTGTCTCGTACTGTCATAAATCCAGTCAATAGCCTTCACGCGAACATCCGCCCGGCTCCTACCCCACCTTTCTCCATTATGGAGGACTCTGCATCTTCATACTAGCTGCCGCTCTCCCTGCGACCTGGCCCTCACTCTCCCTGCGACCTGGCCCTCACTCTCCCTGCTACCTGGCCCTCACTCTCCCTGCGACCTGGCCCTCACTCTCCCTGCTACCTGGCCCTCACTCTCCCTGCTACCTGGCCCTCACTCTCCCTGCTACCTGGCCCTCACTCTCCCCGCTACCTGGCCCTCACTCTCCCTGCTACCTGGCCCTCACTCTCCCTGCTACCTGGCCCTCACTCTCCTCGCTACCTGGCCCTCACTCTCCCTGCTACCTGGCCCTCACTCTCCCTGCTACCTGGCCCTCACTCTCCTCGCTACCTGGCCCTAACTCTCCCTGCTACCTGGCCCTCACTTTCCCTGCTACCTGGCCCTCACTCTCCTCGCTACCTGGCCCTCACTCTCCCTGCTACGTAGCCCTCACTCTCCCCGCTACCTGGCCCTCACTCTCCCCGCTACCTGGCCCTCACTCTCCCTGCTACCTGGCCCTCACTCTCCCTGCTACCTGGCCCTCACTCTCCCCGCTACCTGGCCCTCACTCTCCCCGCTACCTGGCCCTCACTCTCCCTGCTACCTGGCCCTCACTCTCCCCGCTACCTGGCCCTCACTCTCCCCGCTACCTGGCCCTCACTCTCCCTGCTACCTGGCCCTCACTCTCCCTGCGACCTGGCCCTCACTCTCCTCGCTACCTGGCTCTCACTCTCCCTGCTACCTGGCCCTCACTCTCCCGGCTACCTGGCCCTCACTCTCCCTGCTACCTGGCCCTCACTCTCCCCGCTACCTGGCCCTCATTCTCCCTGCTACCTGGCCCTCACTCTCCCCGCTACCTGGCCCTCACTCTCCCCGCTACCTGGCCCTCACTCTCCCCGCTACCTGGCCCTCACTCTCCCTGCTACCTGGCCCTCACTCTCCCTGCGACCTGGCCCTCACTCTCCTCGCTACCTGGCCCTCACTCTCCTCGCTACCTGGCCCTCACTTTCCCTGCTACCTGGCCCTCACTCTCCTCGCTACCTGGCCCTCACTCTCCTCGCTACCTGGCCCTCACTTTCCCTGCGACCTGGCACTCACTCTCCTCGCTACCTGGCCCTCACTCTCCCTGCGACCTGGCCCTCACTTTCCCTGCTACCTGGCCCTCACTCTCCTCGCTACCTGGCCCTCACTCTCCCTGCTACGTAGCCCTCACTCTCCCCGCTACCTGGCCCTCACTCTCCCCGCTACCTGGCCCTCACTCTCCCTGCTACCTGGCCCTCACTCTCCCTGCTACCTGGCCCTCACTCTCCCCGCTACCTGGCCCTCACTCTCCCCGCTACCTGGCCCTCATTCTCCCTGCTACCTGGCCCTCACTCTCCCCGCTACCTGGCCCTCACTCTCCCCGCTACCTGGCCCTCACTCTCCCTGCTACCTGGCCCTCACTCTCCCTGCGACCTGGCCCTCACTCTCCTCGCTACCTGGCCCTCACTCTCCCTGCTACCTGGCCCTCACTCTCCCCGCTACCTGGCCCTCACTCTCCCTGCTACCTGGCCCTCACTCTCCCCGCTACCTGGCCCTCATTCTCCCTGCTACCTGGCCATCACTCTCCCCGCTACCTGGCCCTCACTCTCCCCGCTACCTGGCCCTCACTCTCCCTGCTACCTGGCCCTCACTCTCCCTGCGACCTGGCCCTCACTCTCCTCGCTACCTGGCCCTCACTCTCCCTGCTACCTGGCCCTCACTCTCCCCGCTACCTGGCCCTCACTCTCCCCGCTACTTGGCCCTCATTCTCCCTGCTACCTGGCCCTCACTCTCCCCGCTACCTGGCCCTCACTCTCCCCGCTATCTGGCCCTCACTCTCCCTGCTACCTGGCCCTCACTCTCCCTGCGACCTGGCCCTCACTCTCCTCGCTACCTGGCCCTCACTCTCCCTGCTACCTGGCCCTCACTCTCCCCGCTACCTGGCCCTCACTCTCCCTGCTACCTGGCCCTCACTCTCCTCGCTACCTGGCCCTCACTCTCCCTGCTACCTGGCCCTCACTCTCCCTGCTACCTGGCCCTCACTCTCCCCGCTACCTGGCCCTCACTCTCCCTGCTACCTGGCATTCACTCTCCCCGCTACCTGGCCCTCACTCTCCACGCTACCTGGCCCTCACTCTCCCCGCTACCTGGCCCTCACTCTCCTCGCTACCTGGCCCTCACTCTCCCTGCTACCTGGCCCTCACTCTCCCCGCTACATGGCCCTCACTCTCCCCGCTACCTGGCCCTCACTCTCCCTGCTACCTGGCCCTTACTCTCCTCGCTACCTGGCCCTCACTCTCCCTGCTACGTGGCCCTCACTCTCCTCGCTACCTGGCCCTCACTCTCCCTGCTACCTGGCCCTCACTCTCCCTGCTACCTGGCCCTCACTCTCCTCGCTACCTGGCCCTCACTCTCCCTGCTACCTGGCCCTCACTCTCCACGCTACCTGGCCCTCACTCTCCCCGCTACCTGGCCCTCACTCTCCCTGCTACCTGGCCCTCACTCTCCTCGCTACCTGGCCCTCACTCTCCCTGCTACCTGGCCCTCACTCTCCCTGCTACCTGGCCCTCACTCTCCTCGCTACCTGGCCCTCACTCTCCCTGCTACCTGGCCCTCACTCTCCCCGCTACCTGGCCCTCACTCTCCCCGCTACCTGGCCCTCACTCTCCCTGCTACCTGGCCCTCACTCTCCTCGCTACCTGGCCCTCACTCTCCCTGCTACCTGGCCCTCACTCTCCCTGCTACCTGGCCCTCACTCTCCTCGCTACCTGGCCCTCACTCTCCCTGCTACCTGGCCCTCACTCTCCACGCTACCTGGCCCTCACTCTCCCTGCTACCTGGCCCTCACTCTCCCTGCGACCTGGCCCTTACTCTCCTCGCTACCTGGCCCTCACTCTCCCTGCTACCTGGCCCCTCACTCTCCCTGCTACCTGGCCCTCACTCTCCCCGCTACCTGGCCCTCACTCTCCCTGCTACCTGGCCCTTACTCTCCTCGCTACCTGGCCCTCACTCTCCCTGCTACCTGGCCCTCACTCTCCCTGCTACGTAGCCCTCACTCTCCCCGCTACCTGGCCCTCACTCTCCCTGCTA